GATGTTCAATAGAATTACTTTCCTCCTTAATTGTGGTAGACTTATTCTGTTCTGGTAACTGTTTTAACTGGCCATCTAAGTGATTTTGTTTAGATTTTGTGTTGGACCGTTTAAAAACTAAAGGTTTCTCGTCCTCATCATCATATAGATTCGGTTTGGTAGAAGTCCGAACAGCCATTATCCGACAATGTGTATTCTGCTTGAGCTTGCACGTATATCACCTAAATTTATGCAAAACATAAACTTATTTTCAAGATGGATACAGTACCGCAACAATTACATTCAAACCCAAAAATCTGAGGCTAAATCATTATCTAGAGACAAGAAAAGGAATATTCTTGTTGGGATAATTAAAAATCCAACTATATGATAACACTAGGAGATAAACTCTTGCACATATAGTCAAAAATCCGAGGCATGATGCTAATTTTCGATTCTGTGCTTCTTTAATTCGTTTCACACTTCCTCTTACATTTTTAAAATCTTAAACACCTTGGCCCCATTTGTTTGGACGGAATGCTAGAGTAGGAATAGGAATTGTATCCCCTTTCCTAACTATCCTGGAATGGAACGATTTTAAATTTCCATCTTTTGAAAAGAAATGATAATTTATTGCCAAAGACATGAAAGCAAAAGAATTGTGGCTAAGGGAGCCACAGGGCCTAAAGGCCTACAACACAAACAAAAAACTACAGAAAGCTAACCTATAGGAGGCTGCAGGAAGCTAAACAACAAAAGGCTAAGTTAAACACAAGCAACACAATTGCAGCATTCCAATCTAATAGAATGAAACTCAAGCTCGTGTCCTTAAATTCAGAGGATGTGGATGCCCACAGCGATGTCCAAAACCTGATTCGATCTCATCCCCCTCCAAATTCTCGAAAATTCTTCTATTCCTCTCTCCCCACACCACTCAGAACAGCGCGATCACCGCACAATAGCCCAGAATTACACCCCTCCTTCCTCCAAAGAAATTCATCCCTGACCCCAGAAAGTCATAGCAAGAATCATAATTGCCCTAGATCATCCCAGTCTCCTGACATCTTGTCCACAAAGAGGAGACAATTGGGCAAGACATAAATAAGCGATCCAGTGTTTCATTAGCACATTTACACAAAATACACCAGCTGGGAGAGAAATATAAACAAGGATTTTTTCTTTGAATCAAATAACAGTTTTACCTTGGGGGTTACTTTAGCCTTCCCAATTACACAAGAAGGAGGGAAAATAGGTGAGGAAGGATTAGCAATCAAGTGGGCAGAAAATGATTTGACCAAAAACACTCCAGAAGATTCCAACCTCCATAATCTGCGATTTTAAATTTCCATTCCAGCGTTTGGAACAAAATTGGAATCAACAAACGAAAAGGAATTGAAAATTACTATTTATCAAATTTTGACCAATGATTGGCTCCACTGCTCCAGATACTGAGAGAATAAAAGTTGAGAGCTAATGACGACGTTGGTACAACAGCCGAGCGGCAAAGAGAAAGAGATTGAGCATCAGAGACAGAGAGAGTGAATGAGAGACTGACAGTCTCGCACCACCGCCATCACTCTCTTAGTTCTATGCCTCATACCGCCGCCATCACTCTCTATCGACTATTAGTCTCTCACTCACTCTCTCTATCTCTAACACTCAATCTCCTTCTCTCCGCCGCTTGGCTATCGTACCAACGTCGTTATTCTCTCTTGAATTTTATTCTCTCAGTCTATGGAGCGGTGGAGCCAATGATCTGTGGGCTTGCATCTAATTCAAAGGTTAGATCCAAAATCCCTGATCCAAAAATTAGGGTTTTCAAAAATTAATTACTTTTTTATTTCAGTAATTTTTTGCTTTCTAACCTTTTTGAAGCGTTTCTGAAACCCTAATCCAAATATTAGGGCTTTTTATCTTATTCGCTGTTTTTTTTCCACTAATTTCCAGTAATCTTTGTTGGGGCCTCCAGTTTTGGGGATTTTGAAGCCTAAATTCAAAGATTTCATCTTAGTATTGAAATTTGAAAATGTCTATTCTTGAAAAACAACGGACAATATTCGACAAATAATTTTTCAATTTCTTTCCGTTTGTTGATTCCAATTTTCTATGGATGATTATCTAGTCCCGGAAGGAGGTAATTGTGGAAGACCACCCAATTGAGGCGGTGTTTGGGCTTGAGGTTGGGACTGAGTTGGTGTTTGGACTTGAGGTTGGGGAATTGGTATAATAGGTGATGGTGATGATGTGGATGCGGAAGAAGAACATGCTTCATTACTACTAGGCAAGTGTTCAAATTGGTCCATCTCTCCTTTAATAAAAACAGAAACTAACCAATAAAAACAGACCTAGCATGCAGCATAACCTATTTCATAAAAAGAAACATAAACATAATTAATACAGCAGCATAACAACAGAATAGCAGCAGCAGAAACAGAACCTAGTAGTTTCACATAACCTAATTTCATAAAACAAACATTAATTTAGCAAAACAGAACCAACAAGGACAACCAAATAATCACAACAGTATAATTTAACAGAAGAACCTAATTGCTAGCAGCCCTAGTTAGTTTAATGAAACCAACATTTCATAATTTCTTTGTCAATTTCAAATAATCATCACAGCACAACATAACCTAATTGGTAGCAGCCCTAATTCGACAACCCTTAACAGAAAAATAAAATATTATCACATCAACCTCAACCACCAAATCGACAAGCCTAATTTAAAAGAAAAAAAACATAAGTTTCATTTAGAATAAACCCTAAATTCAAAGGAAGATGATGCTCTCACCTTTAACTGATATGAGAGAGAAACCCACAGAAAAAATCGCAGGAGAGGAATAGATTTTGTCGGCGATCATTAACTGAGACTGAGAAACATAGAAAAATCGAGATAAGAAGAGAGAGCAAAGAGAGAGTTAGCGGAGCAAAGAACCGACGGGGAAAAAAGAACAGATAAGAGAGAGAGAAGCTGACCTGCGTGCAGGGCTGGAGACGGCGCGGTGGCTGATCGACTGATAGTGAGATCGAAGTAGAGAAGAGAGAGAGAGAGAGAGAGAGAGAGAGAGAGAGGGGGGGGGGGGGGGGGGGGGGGGCGGAGAAGAGAGAACCTGAGAGTAAGAGAGAGAGAGGAATGAAAACCTAACCTAACTCGCGCATTCAGACCAGGAAATTCAGACCAGGAAAAAGAAAGGAAGGGCAATAAACAAACCCAAAAAAACCCCCCCAAAAATAATAGCTGGCTCTATATTATTTAATTTTGATTATTAAATTACTTTGATACCTATTGAGAGTTTTGAGTTTTTTATAAGCTTTTGGAGTTGGACTTATTTTAAGAAATTAATGGCATTTTTGTAATTTATAAGAAGTTAAAAGCCTCTTTGTTATGTTGTAAATGGACTTTAGGTATATTTCTAAAATCCATTTTATATAGGATATTTTTATAATTTGGGCCCCCTATTTTGGGTATAATAGTGAACCTCCCTTAAATATAATTAGCCTCTTTGCACGCACTTCTGAGCCTACTAGAGGTTTTTTTATTACAAAAATTAAATTTATTTTAGAATTAAAAAAGATAATAGGTAGTTGTATTCCATAAAAATAAAATTCATTATATGATTTTTTTTAATATTAATTTTATTTAATATGAAAAAATATGAATTTACCATATTATTCTCATTTAATTAATAATTTCAATTCTTAATGTTTGCATTAACCAATGACATTTTTTGGTATTTTGAATGTCTTATTATTTTCTGCCTTTTGCTTTATATATATATATCGAATTACACTTTGGATCTGGATCGTCTGCTTGCATTTTCTCTGTCATGATCTGCTTGATTTTTGTTATCCATATGCCACCTCATTTAAATTTAATCTAAGAGATTTAAAAGTTGACACATCATCCTAAAAACAAAAGCCCAATTTACTCCTAATTTATTAAATAAATAAAAAGTTATAAATTTTTTTTTTGAGAAAAACCCTAACACCCAACTAACGGGATAGTTAACCTTCGAAGTTTTTTTATTTTTTATTTTTCTCCTTCCTGTTTCACGTTATGTCCTCTTCTATTTTTTGTCTTATTCCTTTTAATCTTGCTTTTTTGGTGCCAATGACATGGGGGATAAACCCCAAAGAACAACTAAGTTTTATCCAAGGGGATCTGACTAGGGATGGCAACGGGTCAAGTAGATGCCGGGTATGACAATACCATCCCCGTCTCCGCTCTCCATCCCCGCCCCGATCCCCGAACCAATTCCCGTTTAATAGGTTTCGGGGAATCCCCGTCCCTATCCCCATCGGGGGACTATCTCCTATACCCGCCCTAAATCCCCTATTTTTTTTTGCATAAATTATCGTACATTTTAACATTAACATTAAGTTTCATATTAAATTATCATTCAACACATCCAAATTAACTATAAAGTTCAACTCAACTATTCAAAATCATATCAATACGAAGTTCCATAGATAATTAGGAAGAATTAGGAGATGGAGCTTAACTTAGGGTTAAATATAAATATTTTATTTATTTATTTATTAGTATAAACATATATATTTTCGGGTCGGGTTCGGGGATGGGGACGCCAATACCATCCCCTCCCCATACCTGTAGGGGATTATTCAAGTTCGGAAATCCCCATACCCGATACCCTTTTGGCCTCGAAATTTCCCCCCGTTAGGGTCGGGGATCCGTCCTCGGGGGAATTTTTGTCATCCTTAGATCTGACGAGCCACGAGAGGCCCTTAGCAAGTCATCAACCAACACATCACTAGCCCACAATGGGGCATTTTCAAAAAATCAAATGCCCAAATCCGTACTGTAACTCCATCTTGCAAAACATACAGCAAGGTAATTCTTCTCCTTGGGGATATGTTGAATATGATAGTTCTCAAACTGTCTTCAAAGAGTATAGCAGTTATGCAGTAAACCAGCAAGAGAATGGAAACGATATGCAATAGTTTGCTGGATAAGTTGAACACCAAGAGCTGAGTCCATTTCAACGATGAGCCTATTAACACCTTTATCCAAAGCCATTTTAAGACTAAAAATTAGACCTGTTTGTGCAAATAATCTCACGGGAGAATATTCGCTTCTAGATCCTTCAACCTTCGATCTTCCTTCTCTCTCTTCCTCGATTCCTGTAAAACAGATTGGAGTAAATAGACCACACCCGGGGGGTGTTGGCCAAAGGCCCTCCGATGCCTAAGTTAGTTCGAGTGTTTGTATAAAAACAATAGCTAAGCAAAGGGTACAGAGTAGTGTTTATGTAGGGTGTGAACCGGGCGGCCGGAGCCGTG